CCCCCCCTTCCCCTCCCGGCTCGCGTGTGCGCTGCGCGTAGCGTTCGAACGACTTAGAGTGGCGGAGCGTAGTGGGAAAACACAACTAAGCACCATAACCTACTAGCGGAACTTTTTTTCAACCGCGATTTTTGCCGTTTCGTCCGCATGTTTATCAAAACACGTACGAAGGCTGCACTCAGGTTGATTTTCGTCTGTACGCTGTAAATTTTGGACACTGTTTCCTACCATGGTCCTGATACAGGTTTCCTGCTACACGCTACTCTGGACATGTTGAGAAATGACGAGACTGATTGACGCTTTTCGAACCGATTCACGGATGACTGACCTACCAGAGTTGGGAAACCAGGAAGCGCCGAGCTAGACTTTATGAGGGAGGTCAAGGTCAAACTTCGGCTTCAGGTCGAAGAAACGATGCGATATAATGCGATACGGAGAGCAGCTGTTTGCAGCGTCTGCTGCTCTCTGACTGCGCCGCTGCCGCTGCGCATGCGCACCGGACTGCGCACAAGCTAACCCTTCTCTCTCGCACAGTGACTACCTGTCTCTCTCGCACGCGCTTGCAGACTGTCGTTGCCTACCGGAAGAATATGGAAAGTCCCGCCAGGAGGGGGATCACGGAGCTCCTCTGCGCCTTCTAAAAAACAGGGTGAGGGGGGGTGAGGGGGGTCAATTAGAAGGCGCTTCCGGGGAGCTCCGGAATACCCCTCCAGTCGCCAGTCTCTGTCCCATAGCCCTCCGCACCCGGAGGCACGCTTTTTGGAATTTTCCATGTCGTCTTGTTATCCTTCTCGCTCTCGCGCCAATGACCTCCTCAAGGAGAAAAACTGGCAGCCCCAAGCCGTCAGTCCGCTGCAGTCCACTATCTCGGTTATTGAGTAACTTTTGTCCCAAACTTATTGTTTAGCCTCAGCCACATACTTCGGGTGTACTTGAAGAACGAGTTGTTGGTATCGTAAGAAGTGCTGCACATTACCCTAAAAAGCAATTTATTTACTAGAAAACGGGCAAGTCAAAGGTCAAATTACAGAGCGCAATTACATAAAAATAAAAAAAATGTCAATACTACATGGCCATAACATCATCTGTAACCCCCAGTGAGAAACGTTGACGTCGATCGGACGTCGAAACACGAAACGACGTCGATTTTTCGACCACAGGCACCTACATCGACGTTATTCGACGTCTGATGGTTGGCGTCTGCTTTGATGTGGCACCACACGGGCGGCACGGCGGCGGCATCCTCTTCATCCGAATAAACTGAACCGTCGTCATCATCGTCATCGGCCTCAGCTTCGGGCTCGCTGATCCACGGCCACAGGCCTCGGTGACAGCCCGCGGCGCACGCCTCGCAGCGCTCCCTCCGACGGCAGTACGGGTTCGTGTACACGCGCAGGTCGAGCTCGGGGTTGACGGCCAGCAGCCGCCGCACGCCGACCTGCCCGAGGACCTGCCCCATCCCTCCAAGGAGCCAAAACAGAGCCAAGAGCTTGCACATCGGGCTGCTGGTCTCCCTCGTTGGGCTCGCCGAGGACAACGTTACCACCTTCAAAGCGCGCCGTAGTAATTGTGAGTGTGTGTGTGAGTGTGTGTGTGGTTGGGGGGGGGGGGGGGTTGCAGGGCCAGGACCTGCTGGCCTGCTGTAGGACATTCATCCCCTCGGAGAGAGGAGAGAGAGGACACCGAAGAGCAGCGGTTGCAGCGGGGCGTGAACGCGGGCAGGAAGGTGGTGGAGGCGCTGCGGCTGGTGGTGCCCATGGCCATGGAGGCGCTGAACCGCCAGCTGGACACGTCCATCTCCCTGCTCATGAGCTGCAGCCAACAAAGCATTCACTGTAAAAAACTTCGTCGTAAATTTACAAAAATTTTGTAAACTTGAATTATAATTTAAGTTGTAAATTTACGAGAGTACATTTTTTACTCGCCAATGGATTTGAAGTCGATACGTACTGCATGTATTTTTACGATTCCAAATTGTAATTTTACAACTAGCGTCAAGGAAAATTTTCCTGTTAACCTACCAACTATTTTTCACAGTGTTTCGGTAGTGCTGAACTGCTAAAGAATGCGGGGAAGAAGAAAACGGAAATCGCTATGCTCTGACATGTTAATTTCCATTTTCTTGTTCCCTGTATTCTTCTGCATTTCAGCTTTACCGGAATGCTATACTAAAGGGGGTCATGGAGCAGCACTTGTTTGTCTAAGCTAACAAACTTTGTCACTTACACTTTTCCCTTTCATGCAGTAACAATTATATAACACAAATATATGAGTAAGGATAGCATTTAATTAATGGACTGTTGGTCGACGGAAATCAACAGGTGCTTGTCCAATTGTATTGATCGTGTCTGTCCATGTTTCACTCCTGCCAAACCAAGTTGAGTATATTTCTCATTCTCATTCAATTTGCAAGCTCTATAGCATCTAAAGAAAAGCCAATGTATGTAATCATTCATTTAGAAAAGGATAAGGTAACATATCCGCAAAATAATATGCTCAGAGCAAGGTGGATCAGAGACTACGAGCACAACTGAATGATAATTTATATGTTTTCAACTAAAGATTAATCACTATGAATGCTGCCAAGCATTTAGCATTACATAACTTAACATTTAATATTCAAATTTTGTCCAAAGTCACCTGACAAATTTAACCTCACTTTCTTATTCCTACTTGTAGTAAATTAAAACTTTTGATATGGTGAGTTATTGTGTCTTCTGTTTTCAATTAAAATGCAAAAATATGTGAAGAAATATGAAGAAACGTCACAAGCCATGAGAAAAATCTACCAAAATGGCAAGGGAAAGCAGAAATTAGGCAGACGAGACGAGGGGCGGGGTGTCGGGTGGGAGGAGGAGGAAGGGATAGCAGCAACATCAACAACAGCAGCAGAAAAGACGAAATCACTATCGACAGTTTTGAGTGTCAGTAATAAAAGTACTTGCTAAAGGCAGGCCAGAGTGTTGACAGCAAATTATAGTAGTCAACATGGCGATCAGAGGTTACTGCGAGTGTGATGCATGAAGTAAAATGTAGATTTATTTTTATTTTCAAATGGCTTCGACTGTGACAGTTGACTCGCGTCGACGCTCATTGACATCCGTGCCCATACGAGTACGGACATCTGAGCATAACCCTAATTTGTGCACCAAAACTTAGTCTGAATGTTAAGTGGTTTAGGCCAGGTGTCCATCATAGCCTAGCCGTCCCAGCCAAAACAAGGGCTGGGGTCAATGCTCTCATATTGACTTTTGAGGACAAGAACGAACTTACACAATGGATTTTTAATACTTTGGTGGGTAATACAAACCATCTCACCCTTCCCTCAATGTTGTTGGACCAATAATTGATGGCCTAAATTATTTACACCAGTGGTGCAAACTATCTGCCGAGAGCTATATGCACCACCAAGTGGTGCAAGCAACTCCAAGTTCACTATTATCACCACTAAAGTATTTTCCCTTACCGGTGTAAGCAACCCTTAAAATACTATTAGCACCACCAGGAATATGGTGGTTGGCTGAGCCACTAAAGAATAGAAAAGTAAAATAAATCTATCTTAGGCGAAGCCAAGGGATCGACGGTGAGGGGGCCGACAGAAACCTGGCACTCATCTAGATCCATTCCGGGCTGACCAACACTACAATGATAAAATTAGCAAAAGAAAAACTACATAAAAAATACCCAAAACTGAGTTTACAACATGAAACCAGGAAAATATAATTGGATCTAAGAAACTTACCACAGCAGAAATTACAGAGCCTAATACCCCGTTCGTCTTCAGTTGAGCAGGGGACAAGATAAAACGAATAAAACATAGCAAAACAAAATTTTGTATTACATGTTGCCGAAACGTTTGTTTGTCACTAATGTTTGAACCGCGATTCGGCGGGCTTGAAAAAGCAGAAGAGCAAATGCGAAATGGCGAAACCATGTAACGTTTTCAACAAAATCATTTTCATTCTTTGTTTCAACACCATGCATTCAGCACTTCGAGAAAAGAACTAGGAGCTGTCAGGACAGGGCAGTTGAGCACATGTCATTAATACCAGTTCATGCTCAACTTAATAAAATAAGTAATTTGGGGAGTGGCAAAATTTGTAAAACAGTAATTGTATTTTTTGAGAGTAACTTTTACTAAGATAAATTAATTTGCATTCCCTGAAATGTAAAATTTAATTGAAATTATCAAAGTAAAATGTTGGTATTTTACTTAAATTTTATAATTCATATTTTTTATCTACGAAAAGACATGTCCTCATACTAACTGACTAGTTCTTTGCTGTCAGTTACTGACATTATTAGTGGACACCCAAGTATACTCAGTACTGGCAGAGTTTACCTAGTGACCAATGATATAAGAATGTGTCGATTTCAGGACCATATATTTCCAATCTTATGTATGAAATCCTAAAAAAAAGTTTGTCTGATATTGTTTCTGATATCAGTCTGATATTTCTTTGCCTTGTTCTTTGCCCTCTTGGTATGTCAATTTGTAACATATTACTTGATTTCTCTTATCTGATTGTGTTCTGGTCCGGTATGATATTTCTTTGCCTACTAACTGGGCATGTCAAGTCCTAAAATATTAGTCAATTTTCTGATGTCTGCTGATATTGTACTGATATTGGTCTGATATTTCCTTGTCCACTGGGTATGTCGTCAAGTTTAAAAATATTACTACAGCATGATTTTTCCATTTCGTATACTATAAAATATTGAAACAATTGGGATGCCCATCGTTTCGACACCGTTTTTTACGTCGTTTCGACTTAAAAGTGGTCCTGAAATCGACGGCTTTTCGACAGTTGATGTCGTTTCGATGCCGTTTCGACGTTTCACTGTCGAAAAGCCGTCGATTTCAGGACCACTTTTAAGTCGTAACGACGTAAAAAACGATGTCGAAACGATGTCGTCGGATAAATTTCTCACTGGGTACTCTGTAATTTTGTCTAAAGAAAGTGTAATTTTTACGCAAACTTTATTTTTGTTTTACATTCACAGTGGCGTTAGCCGA